GGAGATTGTATACAGGAGGGCAAAAACTAGTAAGGCTTCTGGTGAGGAAGTTGCTTTAAATTATTCCTGAGAACTGTTCACATATGGAATAATTTTTGGCCAGGTGTAGGTCCTACACCCCTGAAAATTCAAATTTTTTTCTGGGGCCCCATCCGCCCCAGGGCCCCAGATGGGAGGCCCCATCAGAAACATGGAGGAACTAATCATGCTGACAATGCTGATGAGGATCTCTATAGGAGTAGTCACATCTGATGAAGGTGTGAACATTCATGAGATGCTTTAGATCCGACTGTTGCCATCGGGTTCAGGCCTTGAGTCACCTGGGTGCGCATTGGAAAAGAGCCATGCCGTTTGCTTGTTAGCATTCCGGAAGTTTCCCCGAACTCCTGCCTTTCACAGTGGTAGGCGGAGCAGGTGGATCCTGCTGAAGACCTTCAGGTACCTGGACAACCTTCGGTGCCTTGGATGAAGGGCGGAGACCCATGGGCAAGGTGGACACCTTCGAACACCGACGCTTCCTTAAGGAACCCCGGATGGAGTGTGCCCACTGGCCCGGCTGCTAGGTTTCCATGGTCTATGACCTGGCCATCGACGACATGGCCTACGAGCCCTACTGCAGCGGCTGGAACGTCACAGACGATGCCGCAGATGCAGCCTGCAGCGGCTGGAACGTCACAGACGATGCCGCAGATGCAGCAGCAGCCACAACCACAGAGTTCACCCGGAGGTGCACCACAGCATGCACCACAGTTCTCCGCTGCGGCCTTTGCAAGTGCCTTAGGTAGCCAAGGTGCCCAGCCCAATGACGCTTCGACGACTTCGCCGACGAGCGCTTTTTCCATGTTGGGTAAGTCAGCCCCAACGAATGCAGCTGTGCCTACAAGTGCACAGACCCCTGAGCAGTTGATCGCAAGTGCCTTGAATCAGGCCCTAGCTGGAGAGCGCAAGACGCTGCCTTCATGGAATGGTTCACCATCGACTTTGAGATCATGGCTGAAGCTCCTTGCACTATGGGAGTATGAATCAAATGTCCCGGTTGAGAAGAGAGGCATTAAGTTGCTACAGTCCTTTCCTGAAGGTTCCCAGCCAAGGAGAATCGCTGACACGATTCCAACTGAGGTGCTGCTCTCAGCCAATGGCTATGGAGCAATCTTGGGTGCCCTTCACCAGAAGTACGCTCCGTTCTTGGAAGCCACTGCACCTCAGGCGATCGACAAGTTCCTGTTCGATGGAGAGAGACAGAAAGGTGAAAGCTTCACCTCCTACATCGCGGCCAAGACGCTGGCCAAGCAAGAGATGGAACTGCAGCTTGGGGAGGTCATCAACGACCGACTATGTGGCCGGATCCTCTTGAAGCATGCCAACTTGAACGACCTACAGAGAGAGATGCTCCTGTTGAGAGGCCCCATGCTTCGTCCATTTGATGAGATCGCCAACCTTCTGCGACCTCTTGACCGACCAGAGATGTTGGCCCGAGCTCAAGAGCCCTCCAGTTCAAGGAACTACATGATCACGTCCGACTACTATGAGGACTACTACCCGGACAACCCTGAGAACGAGGAGGACAATGAAACGGAAGGTGATCCTATGGATCTTGAGAGTTGGCCACGTGAAGATGGTGATGAATCCGCCTCTTGTGATGAGAATGGGAATTGCCTGTTCTACATGGAGGACCGCGAGTACCAGGAGACGGAGGCCATTGAGCTCAAGGCTTACCATTTGGCCTACCGTGACGCCCGACGTGAATTGCAGAAGCGCAAAACAGAAAGAGGCTATGTGAGACATGGTCGAGATCCTGGTCGTTCCAAAGGAGGCAAGAAAGGAGTCCGTCGACCTTTTGTCAAGGGTCGAGGCAAAGGAAAGTCCAAAAGGAAACAGTCATCCAGTCGCTCATGGAAAGGGAATGAAGAAGACTTGGAGAGCAGGACACGCTGCTGGAATTGCAATGAGCTTGGACACTTCGCCAAGAATTGCCCTTTGTCTCAACGAGCTGATGCCAGCAGTAGCCCTCCAAGACAGCAGTTTGTGGTTCACACTGGAGGACAAACAGCCCTTAAATACCTGCAATGCAGTTCATGATGGCTATGGGTTCTTCTTCGAGCAGTCCGCCACGCCGGCTGACGATCTTCGCTGGTGTTCAGTGCTACGCAGATGAGGCCCTTGTGGACACCGCCGCTGAGGAGGCTGTGATCGGCACTACGGCACTACATGAGCTGGAGAAGAGCCTGAGACAGAGGAACTTGAAGTGCATCCCTGTGCAGGGAAACTCGCCACTTCCTTCAGCTGGAGGAGTTGGCGGAGAGGCCAAAGTTGTGAAGCAGCTGGAAGTGCCTGTTGGAGTCGCCCAGGTGAACGCGGTCTTGCGGTTCACCGTGTTGCAAGATGATGACCAGTTTCAGACTCCGCCACTTCTTCCAGTCAGCTTCTTGGAACACATCGAGGCCACGATCGACTTGAAGAACAACTTGTTGACTACAGGTCAAGGCCAAACAGCTAGCGTGAGACGCCTTGGAACTGCACACAGAGCAGTCAGCTTGACCAACTTCAGTCCAAGTGGTTGGAATCTGCCGGTATCACACCGGCGAGACCCTGATGTGGATCCTTTTGTTCTTCAACCAGAACGACCTCTTCATTTCCATGTTGCTCAGTATGATCCGAATACCGTGACTGTTTGGCTACTTCACCAAGATCAACTTCACTTCTTGCAGAGCTTTCCAGGTTCTCGCTATGACATGATCTTTCCTCAAGATTGCGTTGGCCTTCGAGACACAACCTCTTTGGAGCCAGAGAGGGTGACCTATGCCAGACTCGAAGATGGCCATCGCATGGTCATTCGTGACCAATGGAACACCCATGACAAGCGCTACCGTTCATTGCAGCAGCCTTGGACTGGCGCCGTGGTTTTTGCTTCGACCAGTGCAACACTGGCCGATTTTCTTTCTTTGGGGGAGCGGTTGATTTCGACGCCACCGGCTTCCGCCCAAAAGGCATTTTCTTCGATGGCCGCCAGTTCATCCTCACGCCCTGTTGCCGAGAATGGCCCTTGGGCAAAATTCGCCCGTTGTGATTCTGGTGGAAAAGGACGAGCTGCTGGAACACGAGATGATGTCCATGACACTGACACTTCATGCAGTCCAACCAGCCCTTGCACCACCTCTACCCCTTTGAGTCAGTCTTCCTTGTCTACCTTTCCTGCGCTACAGGCTCATGGCAGCTACATCATGGACCACAACATCGAGGTGAGCCTGGGCTCTCAGAGTCCGAAAAGTCAAGGGAGCTGTGAACACTTCTTCATAGGTGATGATTCAGAAGTTGAACTTGTTGAGCTTTCAAAGAAACCTCAAGCCAGAGATGCACGTCGTTTTCCTCTTCAAAGAGGCTTGGTTGATGCCGCGCATTCATTTCCGAAGCCGATGAATGTGTTCAAGTCTTTGTGTGCAAGGCGAGCTCGACATGTCCGCTTTGAGGAACCGCGCAGCTCAGATTCTGAAGGAGCCAGAACCTCAACCAGAAAAGAAGAAGACTCCTCAGGATCGCACTATGATGGCCGAGACTCGCTGGAAACGTTTGGTGCTGGCGATCTTTGTGCTGTTCAAGAGCATGCGCACGGAACTCACCATGGAGTACCTCACCAGACGCCAGGACATCTACGAGCTCGAGACGGAGGAGGACCGCAAGAAGCATGTCAAGACCAAGAGCGCGGATCCCGCTCAATGGACTCTCAGGATGCAGATTGGCAAGCCCCTTTCAAGGTCAGTGGCACAAAAGACCTGGGCCAAGGATCCAGACGATTGCAAGCATCCAGAAGATCAACTTCGACACCGAGCTGGACGGGGACACTTTTGGTACACCTGTCTCGGATGTGGCTCACGCTGGGAACGTCTCAGTCAACCAGCGGAAGCAACCTTATCAAGCTCTTCTACGCAGATCG